CCATCTCATATTTTACAGTTCCCTGCCTTTCCCTTCCTAGCCACCCTCTATTATTTTCCTTACATTAAAAGAACACTTATTTCAACTTGTTTCTCCACATAGAGAATTCTGAAAGATAGGACGAATATACAGTATTTCTACCTGATTTTCATAAACATTGTCCGGTTGTAGAAAGAAGTGTGCTCAAGTGGGCTCATACCAGCATGGTGAGAGCCAATTGCTAACAAGCCAAGAATTTTGTAAACCAGTTATTAAAGTGCTGGCAGCTTTAAATCAGCCACGGTGGGTGTATTTCTACCACGGGAGCAAACACCAATCAGGGCATTGTTTTAAAAAGTTTTTATTTAAATTCCAGTTAGTTAACATACAGTGTAATATCAGTTTCTTAAATTTGTTTTATTTTGGAGACCATAATAGCATAGCAAACATCACTTAATCTAAGCTAGCTAAGAGTGACTCTGATCCCTTGATTCTTTTATAAAAAAATTTACAGGCTAGTAAAACAAAAATAAGAGTAGAATCAATCCACTAAGAAGTAAAAGTAATTTAAATTATATAGGAGGCTATTTACCCAAAGGGCTTTAAGGACAAAAAACTTGTTTCTCAAATTGTCAAGCATTCATTCTCAAAACTGGAAATGAGATTTTACCTTCACTCACTATGGCCTCCTAGCTAAGTGGTAAAAGTAAATATGTAACAGGGATGGACACAGAACATTTACACCAGTAATCTAGAAATTTTTATTTTTTAATAGTAAGGACAACTATTTTTTTAAGATTTTATTTATTTGAAAACTTTCATTTTTTTAAAGATTTATTATTTATTTTAGAGAGAGAGAGAGAGCATGAGCAGGCAGAGAGGGGCAGAGGGAGAGGGAGAGAATCTCAAACAGGACCCCCTTACCCCTCACTGAGCCTGGAGGCTGACACAGGGCTGGGTCTCAGGACCCCGAGATCATGACCTAAGCCAAAATCAAGAGTCGGACACTTAACCGACTGAGCCACCAGGGTGCCCTGAAAACTCTTCCTTTAAAGGAAGCTGGGGAGGCGTAACTCATGGCTCAGATGAAAGTGGACTTACTCTATTTCAGAGGTCAGCAAATTACAACCTGAGAGCCAAATCCCACCTGTGACCAGTTTACGTATAATCCGTGAGCTATGGTTTTTACATTTTTAAATTATTAGGGGATAGAACTCAAAATGGGAATAAATAACATTTTGTGACATGTGAAATAAATGAAGCTCAAATTTCAGTGTCCATGAAGAAAATTCGATTGGAACGTAAGTTATATTAGCATGTTTCCATGCAATGTCTGGCTGCTTCCATGCTGCAGAAGCTGAGCTGAGTGGTTTCAACAGGGACCACAGGGGCCTGTAATATTTACTATCTGGCTCTTTACCAAAAAAAAGTATTTTTTTTTTTACAAAAAAAAAAAGAAAGAAAAGATTGAAACAGAGACTGGGGCCTCACCCCCTTCCCAACTGGTGAGAAGGTTCTTTTCAACCCAATAGCCATATATCAAAGCACTTGTTATTTTTTCTATTAATAGAGCAATTCATTTATCAGTTATATGCAATAAGACTGAAAGGCTGGAAAATGAATTTGGTTTAAGATTCTAAAACAAACACCAGCAATCCAAAAGGAAGAGGAATCCAAGCTGCAGGATAGTCCCATTTATTTTTCAAAGACCATCTCTATACGTCCTGATCAAATACCAAAACCACCAATGTGGCATCATCGTGCTGTCAAGTGCATTTACCTTTGGCACCTTTCACCCCACGGTCTCCGAGGAAGCCAGGCCGACCGTCTTCTCCCGGGTCCCCCTTACGGCCAGCACGTCCTTCGGGGCCAGGCTTTCCTCTTTGCCCCGGAAAACCGGGGAAGCCAGGCAGCCCCTGGGATCCTGATGAAATGAGAACATGAATTTGTAGAAAGACATTTTAAAGGCTAGCATGCTTCCTAGGTTTGCGTTCCTTGTCGTCGGCATGGAGATTTGCCCTCCCTCGGACCTCCATTTGTACCGAAGGTGAACGACCACTCTCAGCCCCACCACATGTATTGGCTGTGCTCACCTACTCAGCTTTCCACCCCATAGGGCTGAAGTGGGAGCCTTTATGTTTCTAAGTCCTGATCTCATGACGCTTTAAGATGTGGCGGGGGGGACGTGGGGCTGGCGAGTGGGGGCTCATCCGATGTGGAAGTACATTAGCCCTGACCCAACACCTGATCTGCTCTACCTAGTGTGTTGTGGGTTCTGTGGGCTTAATCTCCCTACCCACCTTTTCCCCTTTACATATGCCAAAACATTCTGCCACTGGAAATAAAAATATAGGGGATAAGAATAAGGGAGCTGTCACTAAGAGAAGGACAATATCAGGCTGAAATAACAGTAATTCAATAGTATGATCATATGTAATAGTCTTCACTTGGCAGTGGATTTCAAGTTTATAAAATAGGGGTAAATAATGGAAAAGTGCTACCCACCCTTTGGGCCTGGAAGACCAGGCAGTCCATCATCCCCTGAAGGGCCTGGGACACCTGGGAGTCCTAAGGGACCATGTGCCCCTGGCCGTCCTGGAACTCCTGGGAGGCCCTTCATTCCAGATGGACCAGGAGGCCCCATATCCCCTCTCTGTCCTTTCCAACCTGGGGCACCTGAGAAAAAACACAAGGACAACAACATGTAAAGACCGAACACTGGCTTCACACACGGGCAGGAAAAAAAGTTCCCGATAGCTTAAATTGTGTATCCGTTCCTATGAAACAAACAATGTTTATCAGCTAAACCACAGTGGCAATTCTCCATCAGTCTCAGAACATCTTTTTCTGGCTGCTATAAAAGGAAAGGCAGATTACTTGAATAAATATTTCCCAGTAGAGATACACGAATACTATAAAGAGCATTTTAAAAATGGAAAATGGGGAAGGGTGAAGAACAAAAATATTATTTGTATTTACTCTTGAAACCAATGGAAGTAAACTTTCCAGATGTTTCCTGCAGCTCTGGCCAAGTAGACTTGGTCAGATTGTTCACCAGAGAGAACTGTAGAAATCACAGCAACATCATCTACTTTTTACTGGTGCTAGAAATAAAGCTGTAGTGGCAGGGTTTGCCCCAATCTCATTTTGATCCATTCAGAGGGCATTTTGCTGCCACTTTTGGATAAATGCAATAGGATTTAAATAATAGGTGACAAACCAAATGGTGAAATGAAGATCACACTGGAAACAGCCCTCTAGCACCTTGGGTTGAGACACACTTCTTCCTGGGTCTCTTGAGCCCCTACGTGTCTTGCTGGGTGCACCAAAAATACAAGGTCCTGGCCGTTCTTTATGGGCTAGAACTGGGCTAGCTCTCAAGCTTGTGTGTGCTGCCCACGGATGACATAGCACCTGCCCCAGCATAAGGAGCAGGCTGTCCTGCCTGCGGCTATGAAGCAGCAGCTCCCCAGGCTCCGTGCTCCCTGCAGATCCTGGGACCCACTGTGCATGCAATGCAACATCTCCAAGCCCCACTTCGGTGTCCCCGTGAGACTAGGGTGACAAGGGGAAATGACCCGAACCACCAGGAAGCGCATGCCACTTGCCATTCTAGAACAGGAAAGTCCTTCATCTCTGCTGCAGGGTCTTGGTTGTGCTGGTCCGTAAAAGAGCAGCAGGTGGGCTCATTCCTCCGGAAGTAGGGTCAAGTCCCAGACTCTTCACAGGGCTTGGTGCATGCTCACACTTACCTGGCCTGCCTGGAGCCCCGGGGACTCCCGGTGGTCCTGCTATCCCTGGGGCGCCTCCTTTGCAGGACTGACCAGGTGGACCTGGGATTCCTGGAAACCCAGCACTTCCCTCTCTGCCTCTGGGGCCTTTGAGACCTGGGAATCCCGGCCTGCCAGCTGGCCCTGAAATGATACAATGCACTCCTGACACTCTTGGTATGAAACCAGGGAGTCAGCCTGCCGCAACAGGGGCATGCATAGCAATACCAGAAACAAGCATTTCCATCCAGCTCAGGGCTCAAACGAGTGAAGTCTCTCAAAGGATTTTCTTATCCTGGATGGTAGTGAGCTCCAAATGAATGGGAAAACCATGCATTACTAATAGAGTTACTTGTTATGGTTACGTAGGCAACAAAGAAGTTGCTTGGGCAAATTTAAACACCATGAAGTTCTTCTTGATTTTAATTAACCTCTCACATTACACCAAATCTCCACAGTGCTTACACACCCAGTTTGCAGTTTATGGATGTGCTTTTTGTAAGCTGTTTCATCCCTTGAACTCTTAAATTTCTATATATTGGAAAGGCAGAGTAATAATTTTCAGGAAAGAAAATCAATCCCCCCATCATCCCATGCCCTAACCTAAAAATCTATTCTATTTTTCCATGTTTTCAATATACTGTTCATAAGTTTACATCTTTTAAGTAGTAATCACAGCGCATAATTGTTGGATTATTTCACATCGCATATTAATCTGCAAATGTTTTCAATTTTGTTATAATCTTTATAATTTTAGTTGAAATAATTTTAGTTGAAAATAGCTGAATGGTATTCCTTTGAGTGTGTGTGTGTGTATTACTTAACTCTCTTTATTGTTCCCATTTGTTCATCTACTGTGGATAATACAAGAGTATTTTCACAATAACCTTTATTTTCTGCTGAACACTTTCCTTAGATACATTGTCATAAGTGAGAGAGTAGGATTACTAAGTCAAAATATTTTTCATTGACTCACAGAATGTATTCTCCTGTTACTTTCCAACTAATTGGGGTTTTGTATATGAATATTTTGACTTACCAACTACAGAGTAAGTAAGCTCCCTGGTGACAGAGAAAGTGACTTAATCCCCTGCCCTCCATTTGCCCTGTACTATGATACTATTGTGGATACCTAATAAATACTGGCCCATCTACTGTTCGAAAAGAACCAGAACAGTGTTTGTAAAAGTCTGGTCTGGGGTCCACTCTTGGTCACCATCACCCAAGGGGCTGGACTGCTGGGACCCAGCCAATTCTGATGTAATGAATCAAAATTCCTGAGACTGGGGCCCCAAAGATGATGATTTTAAGGATCCTTACCCAGGGTTACTGTTAAATACATTAAAGACTTGTACTGAGGATCCTGAGGAATCCTTAGTGATTTTGGAAACAGACGTAAGTCAGTGCCAGGACCATCCTCCCACCTTCCTCACCTGCTGCCCCTGCTGGAATGAAAGTGCCTCCATCCTGTCACCTGTCCAAATAACACAGTGTGCCTGCCAGGCCCAGCCCACAGCCAGCTTCCCTGAACACCATCGCACACTGCTCTGCCCCCCTGAGCTGCCCCTCTTGCAGCCTGTCCTCCTTCAACCTGGCCTTGGCAGTGGGCAGGTGACCCGGTGCCTGCTCCTTGGGCGTTTACAGTGCTCACACGCTATCCTGAGTCCGAAGCAGACAGATGTCCAGTAGCTGCTGAATCAACCCGAATGGACTGAGCCACAGTGAGCTGCCCTGAATTTGAAAACAACCCATAAAATATAAAGACAACGCTACAGATGCAAGTTCCTTGAAATGTGACCAGTGCTCATTTAGAAGGGAAGATGCTTAGGGGGGAAATCTTGCATTCTAGATTTCTATGGCTAGATAGTCTAAATACTCTTCAGTGACCTGTTCCAGAGCTGAGCCAGCTTTATGGACCACAGGGACAGAGCGGCCCTCATACCTGAAAAGCCTGGACGTCCCGGGTCACCTCTGTGTCCTTTTGACCCTGGCACTCCTGAAAGACCTCTCTTGCCTGGGGCACCTGGTTGGCCATAGGCAGTGTCTCCCATGACTCCTTTCTGACCATTTGCTCCACGAGAACCAGGTGAGCCTGGGGGCCCGAGAACGGAGGACCCCTTTCCACCTCCAAAACCTGGATCGCCCATGTCACCACGAAACCCTATTGAACAGAATAGTTTAAATTTTTAAATGTACAAATATAGAACCAATACAAATGGAAGGCTACTACTTTGATAAAAACACATTTTTTAAAAATACAAGAGTATTAACTAAAATTAAGAATAACTTACTAGGCAATGTTGCTTTGCCACCTTTTGTAAGAAAATACATTGTGATTTTGTATCTCCTAGAAGCCAACGATGTTTCCCTCATTGCTTTCATTCACTGACAGTCTGTCTGGACTGAGCAGTTTCTATCAAATAACAGACCAATAATAGGCTGGAACTCATGCTTCAGGTGGAAGGAGCCCTGAGAATTTACAAAATTACCAGCACCTAAAAGTTATCAAAACATAGCTAAGAGCTTAAGGTTTCAAGAAAAAACATCCCCCCCCGCATTATGTAGGGCTCCCTGGGCCGTCTGCTTACTAAGCTCATTGAGTTTAGGAGGCATATACACATTCTTAAATGAAAAACACTTATTTACCAGGTGGACCAGGTATTTCTGATATTCCTGGTTTGCCACGCTGACCTTTTTGCCCATCCAAACACCTCAACCCCGGAGTGCCCCGAGGACCTGGAAATCCCTTTGGTCCTAAATAATAATAACAAAACACAGGCTCAATAAAACACAAATCAAATGAGAACAAAATCAAGTGATTTAAAAAGAATCTACACTGTCATTTTCAGAGTATTTCTACTTTATGTAAGTAATGATGTCGCCTCACCTGGTTTACATAATCACTTTATGAATCGTGTGCTCCAAGTAAGTGTTTCAAAGAGAGTGATTTTGTTAAAGCACTTTCTCAGAAGCCATACTTTAAAGGATTCTCCCTGAAAGCCTTTGAGACATATATCACCACTCCGATGAATCTTTTGGTGCCTTCCCATGCTCCGTCTCAACACAAATATTCAAGCAAACCTCCTCCTTGTAGGAGGAAGGAGACGGCAGCCAGTGTGTGGCCTGCTAAGAAACCACCAGGATAAAGGCCAAAATCTATTTCCCTGCACCTTACTATATTGCCCTCAAAGGAAGTATAGGCTAGAAGCACCTGCAAAAGGAATTGAGATTTTTTTTTTTAACGTTCTGTGATTTCTTACTGGAAGTTCTCTCAGCTAAAATAACTTTAAAGGAGGTATAACCGCCAAGTTAAAATTTGAGTGTTCACATCCCTCGAGGCTTGGAAAGAAGAATAGAGTAAAACTTACAATCACTAAGCACATTATCATTTTTCACTCTTGGGGCATAAGAAAAGAAAGAAGGTACAGTTTTAAAATTCTCAAAGGGCAGACATTTCTACTGATATGTGATCACATCAAGGTAAATTTTGTTGCATAGAAATTAAAAAAATAAATCAAACAACCCCACCTAGAGTATGTCCAAACCAGTAGACTTGAGCCCCAGTGTGACTTACCACAAATGCTGTTTTCCCAGGGTCCCTCAAAACCTGATGATAATTATCCTCACTAGTTGCCAGATGATTAACTATCGGTTCATCTGTCACCAGTTCCTTTACTCTGGGGAATGTGTAAAACAGCAATTTCTCATTGATCCTACCTGGAGGCCCATCAAATCCTGGGGGCCCTGGCCTCCCAGGGTAAGTGACGTTACAAGAAATTGTATCGCCTGGAATGAAAACAAACAAACAAACAAAGCGGCATTCACACAACCAATAACCCCACGTAAAGTAAATCTCAATGATAACTCAATCAAGATATTTTTTCATATAGTATATGTGGATTTCAAGGGAAAAGAAGACACCCAAGTGTTCTCAGATCATCTGAACTACCTTTATTCTGAATTTCTAAAAGATGGGTCCTGAAATCTGAGCTTCAACTGTCAGACAGCTATGAACATAAGGGGAATAAGAAAAATCCCAAGAAGTTTGTTTTAATAGCCTAGAAAAAAAAATAATGTATTGACAGGCCCAATGACACCCAATACAATGGAATCAGAAGACCTAGCAAATCCTGATGTAGGAGCGACATCGAACAGTGAGCTCAGAGGACTGGACTCCTGGTTTGGGGGTGGGAGGCCTGTGTAGATGAGGACACTCGGTGAGGTATTAATGCCAGTAGCCATTTCTGGAGGGCCTGCCATGGATCTGGGCCTTCACATGTATCGTCTCTTGGTTTTGTTAATGACTCTGCACTGTGGTCACTGTCATCCCCCCATTTTTGCTGGTGAAGACAGGAAGACTCCAAAGCTTGGGCCTCTTGGTTCCCTCCCCCTTTGAAATGGAATATTTCTCTTTTATAAGAGAACAAATGGATTATAATGTATTGCTTCATATGCTCTCAAATCAAAAATGTATCAACTGAATAAAAATAATGTTAGATTCTGATGGGTCCAGAACCATAACCTTAAGCCTTATTGAGGACCAAATTATTGCCTATGTTTTCAAAGCAAGAACCAACGATACTATCTCAGTTCTAACACTTCACAATTAATAATGTAGCCCAAGGCATATGTACATATTACAAAGGAAAAAAATCTTAAATAAATCTTTCTGCAGCCTTTCCAAAAGCTTTCCGCTCTAATACTGCAAGTCACTTTACTGTTTAAATTCAGATAACTGTCAAATATATTTGAAATCCCTTCTTTGTTTTTCTTCCTAGAAGGCTTACACATGGGTTTTCAAGGACAATGATGTATTTTTAAAATGAAATATTAGTGTTTTTTATTAAGATACACCGCACTGTCTCAAAAGACTGTAAACAAATAGATATTTTGAATATGTATGTAAATTTAATACAGATTGCACGAGTTGGTACTGAGAAATGAATGAAAGGCAATTTTGGTATGCCAGACAAATACAGCAACAAAGACATTTTAGTATTTTAAGAATTTGTTTTAAATATTGATTGTGGGCGCCTGGGTGGCTCAGTCGGTTAAGCGACTGCCTTCGGCTCAGGTCATGATCCTGGAGTCCCGGGATCGAGTCCCGCATCGGGCTCCCTGCTTGGCGGCGAGTCTGCTTCTCCCTCTGACCCTCCTCCCTCTCATGCTCTCTGTCTCTCATTGTCTCTCTCGCAAATAAATAAAGTCTTAAAAAAAAAATTAAAAAAAAATAAATATTGATTGTGCTATAATGTTTTTATTTGTTAGACAACAATCAAGGTTTGAACAGCAGCTAGAAGGAATGTTATTTAGCGGTTCTAGCCATAGCTATAATAACTTTGCCCAGGAGAGAGGATCACTTTAGCTTCCATTATTTCCCTTGCCATTCTGTAACACAAAACATTCAAAATTACCTTTCTGACCCTTCAAGCCCTCAAGGCCCCTCTCGCCAGGGCGGCCTGGAGCTCCTGGTGGCCCTCTCTCTCCTGGTGGGCCGGGAAATCCCAGACCTGGTTGTCCCCTAGGTCCTGCTCTGCCTGGGAGGCCCGGCGGTCCAGGAGACCCTTCATCACCTGGTAATGCGTCTTCATGATCCCCCTGGGAATGTTTGCATCATGAGTCAGTTAGCAATCTTTGCTAGTCCATGAGTTCAAAGCAGTCATTGTCATAAGCTATAGAAACACATAGAAAAACCTCATAATTCTAGGAGACTCAATCACAAACATAATTTTAAATGATTAACTCAGCTTCTTATTCATATTTTACATAAATATTTACAAACACTTATATGCTGGTGGGGGGGTTGAGCCTCAAATACAGAAAGCCATGTGTGTGTTATATATTAAATACACTTGAGAAATTTTATGTGAGAACAACTCTCTGATACCAAAATAATGAAATACAGAAATACATAATTTGAGGGAGGTAGAAGGCTTACAAATTGAACAAATAAGTTCTTATGTATTTGAAATTGTTGTCCTGTATTCTTATGAGGAGACACAGGGATAGACTCTACCACCCTCCACATCTGCAGGCCAAGGGCTGACAAACACTTTCTGCTCCTGCTTAAGAATTTGACCTTTGCTTAACCGTCTAGTTTTGTTCCTCAGGCAACTTCATAAAAGCAGGGTGTCAAGTACATCACAAGGCAGCATTGCTTATGGTAAAATCAATCCCCACTGCAAAGCTTGCACCTGGTCTGGAAAACTAGAAAGATCTTTGTGGAGCCCTTGTTGGGGCTTCCTCGAGCAGTGGTTCCTGGAACTGGCAAGTTCCCCATGGGGTCCCCGCAAGCTGTGCTCCGGTGGAGAAGAAGCCTCTCAAGCCCCGGCTGCCACCGCGTCTGCCCCATGTGGGGCTCATCTCATTCACTCCAAAGGAATGAACAGTTTCCAGGACTCTCACGGACAAGGAAGGCCTGATGCTCTCAATGGCAGGGAGCATGTCTAACAGAAGCAGCACGTGTGTTGGTGTAAGACAGACTGGGGTTTTCACTCTAGTTTAGCCTACTTGATAGGTAGGTGACTTAGAGTAACATACCCTTAGCCTCCATTTCTGATGGTAAAATCTGGAAGCGAATTGCTCTTCAGAAGACTGATGATACGCACGAAACACCTCGTTCAGTTCTTGTGACATTGCAAGCAATCAAAAATGCCTCATGTACCCAAGATATTTTAAGTTCCTTAGCACTGGATCATGTCTCATAGTCTTTTCTTATGACCTGCGTTACCTACACATGGTCTCCACCCAAAACGTGTTTGAAAAATGCAGAAATATCACTTGTCAGTGGGATTTCCCATCAGCCAATATGTAAAAATTCAGGGGATTTGCACTAGTTGACCCTCCCTTGCTTACGACCTCCCCTCATGTGCCTCTTCATCTGGGGACAGAACTGAAAGTCATTATCAGGACCTGTGTTCTATCCTCCGTCCTATAGAGTTAACTGAACAGGCCTGAGGTCACTGGGGGCTTCGTAGATGTGAGGGCCCCTGAAACAGATACACAACATGAGAATGATACAAAGACCGAAGACAGGACAGGGAGTCTTGCTATAACTAAACCATTACTCAGGACTTCAGACCATCTGCAATTATGTCACACCTTTTATAACAATCATCTTTTCGTGGCAGTCACTAGAAGGCAACTCTGATTTCTAGCACGTTGACACTTGACTGCATTATAGTTTTAAATTGAGAAGGGGAAAACAGAAGCTTCATGGCCAATAAGAAAAGGAAATTCGATAGCCAAAGAAGAATGATACATACTGGGGGGCCTGGATCCCCCTTTTTTCCAGGAAGTCCATCCTGACCATGTTGTCCCTCTTGTCCTGGAAATCCTGGGAGCCCATCAAGACCTCTTTCTCCTTTCTGCCCTGGAAACAAAGGCCAAAAGATATTCAAGCCTTCTCAGCAGTGGGTGAAGTAGAAGGAAACACAGGACAAAGATAAAAACAATGACCTTGCCTCTGTGTGGGCTGGTAGAGACGCCTCGGAGTGTCTCAGTCGACTACAGTCACGCAAAGACAACCATGCAAAAGTCGGAGAGGAGGATGACAATTGCCAAACCCACTGACTCTCTTATTTGCCAGGGAGGCTGTGTGGGGAGGCACCAGTCACAACAGCATCTGTCCCTGCTTGTATGGCACCAAATATGATGCCCCATCCCCTGGCAGTGGTGAATGGGGGGGGCAGTCTGTGGTTGTGCACTGCCCCCAGCCTAGTCCACTTCTTCTTGATTTTTTTTTTTTTCAAACTAGAACTGAGAAGGTAGAGCTCTCTTTCTTTTTGTAACAACTTGGAGCTTTTGGCAGGAAGGGCAGCATACCCACAGCCCAGGAAAGCTAGTCTTGGGGAGAAATGCAGATGGTGTAATGAAAGATGCAAAATGCAGGAAGAATCTCCTGGATCCAGCCGTCCCAGTGCGAACCCTACATCTATTGCTTCAAATTTTGTTTGGGTGAGTCAATAAATTACTTTTTTTCTCTAAAATGACTTCGAGCTGGGTTTCTGTCTTGACCAAAATAGTCTTGATTAATACAGGATGCTATAATGCCCTGGATAAACAGTAGGCAAGTCAAAGGTGGTCTTGTGTCAAACCCAGATTCACAATAATGAGGACTCGAATATGTTTTTTATGTTTTCAAATAAGGGATAGAGGATTTGAGGCTCAACATTCTCACAAGAAATGGGAGGGGCAAGGAATATATTTTAAGCAATCTCAACAATCCTGAATCTTCTTAGAGAACTGATCTGTGGTCACAAGGGAAATGAATGCAAGAGGATGGTTCCTGTATCATTCATTGAATGGCAGGGAGCTACGTGATTGACTAGGCTCACCTTTCACTCTTGATACAACCACGTCACCCTTTTCTCCTTTGCTGCCAGGTGGTCCTGAGGCACCATGTTTCCCCTTGGTGAAAATAAGAGGAACAAATCAGTTTAATTTTGATGAGGTAAAAGTTATTCATGTACATCTAATCTCTCTCTTCTTTCCTTCTAAATCACCTGTTCTAGATTCTGGTTTGGTACTCTTAGTATCATTCTCTTCCTTGCCCTCTAACATGGGTCCTACCTTACAAAACTGAGGCTCTTGATCTGCATTTAAAAGTTTGTGGACTCTGGAAAAGGTCTGTACCAGATTCAACAGAAATGTATACCAATATCAATTCCCTGGTATGGGCAAGGTACTATGGTTACGTATGCTATCATGGGGGAAGCTGAATGAAGGGTCCATGGGAACTCTCTGCATGATTGTGCAACCTCTTTGGGTCAAAAATAAAATTTATCTCAAAATAAAATCTTTTACTATCTTGGGCATTTTAATGTAGAGTGTAGAGGAAAGAGGAGGAGGGTAGGTTAACCACAAGAGCTGCCACTAAAGCTGAAGGGAGAGGTTTAGCAACAAGTGTGTGATATTGCGGGAAGTTGATGAGCAAGAGGAGGGAAAATAAGAACCTTTGTTATAGTTCATATATTTCCTCTCTATAGCAAGTAAACAGCTAATTTTGGCCAATGGGCTCATCATCTTTTGACCTCAACATTGCTCTGAGACTCGACTATTTGGGTCATGGTTTTTATAAGCATTATGTATTATTAAATATTAATCCATGTCAAAAACCTGGAAACCTACCATCAGTATATTAGAGTGGCCAAGCATCATAGTAAACACAGCTACAGGAACACCATACATAGCTTAAGGTTACTCATCCCATGATCTCAAAAATCAAGAAACTCTAAATCAAGAATTTAGACGGAGGTGAAAATGACTGAGCAAACAATTCTTCTCGCATGGAGATGCCACCTTGTCTTATTTTCATACAGTCTAACAACATGTTCATGCAAGCTTAATTACCTTCTTAACGGGCACTTTACAAGCAGTTAACTACAAAGAGAAGAAGGTGCCAGTAGAGATAAGCATAATGGCAGTATTAAGCAGTAAGAATGAAGAAGAAGCCAAAACTCTACGCAACAGGCTTAAAAACCCAAATGGCAAAAATGCGTGGGAGCCATTTGATGTAGAGAAAAAGCATTTCCACGCACCCCCTCGAAGCCCCCAGAAGCATCACTATAGTATAGCATACTGTGTAACAATGTTTATGAGGCACCAAAAAGGTGGGTGGAACAAATTTCCGAGTAGAAATAGCTGGATTAGACAGGAAAGGAACTTTAGAAATTATAAAGTGCTAATATGGGTTGAATGTTGCCTTAATTCTTAATTTTCCTGTATATGCTATGTCGTAAGTGACAACCAGACAGGGCCAAAGTATAGAGATACAGTATTCAGTCCAAGAGGCAGATAATGATAATGTCCTTCTGATAAACTATCAACACATAAAACCATTCACTGAGCTTGTGAACCAAGTCCACTCCAGAAGGCCAATGCCGGTGGAGTGCTCCTGGGAGTCTGAGCAGTTTGTTAGTTAGCACGTTGGAGATTTAGAATGTACTCTCAATTGCTCTAATGCTCTGCAGATACAGAATTTGAAGCACTAGAGTCAGATCACAGACTTAGGTGAGCTAGTAAGGAAAAAAAGTGATAGCCAGCACTTGTTTTGGAATTCACTAAAGAGACATTTACTGAGAACCTAAAGTGCCAGGCTTTACTCGGACACAACAGATAATGGCAGGTAAGGGATTCAGATGAGAGGCCCAAACTCGAGATACAAACACTGGCTTTGCCAGGTTTTTCGTGATATTTCGTGCACAGAGTAGATGGATCTGTTTTGAAATGGTTCGCATCTGCTGACCGTTATAAGTGACTCGAGTTGAGGAACAACCTTTCAGCTACTTGGCTGCTCAGAACAAAGTCACTGCCCCATAGGGCACTCCTCTGAAGGCTAGACACTGCCCATCTGTCCCATCGTTATTGAAGAGCCTTCATCCCGGGGTGACCTGGAGCCTAACCATCAGCCCCAATGTGCTCTTTTCCATTTTCCCCAGGGAATGCCATGAAAATAGGGCTCCAGTCTGAAAGCCTTAAGTGAGGGTGACAGTTAGGCTCTCCTTGTACCACCCTTGACACCCGTGCAAAGCAAATGGTAGGTTTCCAGGTTTTTGACATGGATTAATATTCAATAATACACATTACAAGGACACAACAGATAACAGCAAACCATCTTGCCTTCATGGCGCTTAGATTCTTAGTGAAACAAATGTTGAATCTAAAAGATTCTTGGGCCAAAGGTTCCCAGCAGCTGTGGGATCAAGAGCTACTTGTCACTGTTCTAAGATCTGAGATCACTAAATACATGTGTTAATACAACCACAACATCTCAGCAGCAATCAAAGAACCCCTCTCTGCCAGGCATGTACTGGTTGTTTAAAACATGGTCTACATTAGGGACTTTAGCCACAGAGGCTGAGGGGCCGTGCCTACCAAGGGAAGCAGATGGACGGACTGCGTGGGGACATGAGCACCCAGCCCTACTCCCACAGGCATGGCCACCTCTCAGCTCCTGGAAACTGTAGGAATGCACTGACCCTGTGTTAATGAACTTCCAATCTCTCAAGGGTAGCCATAAATCTTATTAATAATACAAAAACAAACACCACGGAGGCAAAATCAACATGCCAGTGGATCAGATTTAGCCCATGTCAGTTGGTGACCTTTGGTTTGCTCTGCAACTCACTTGGGGCACTGACCCTGGTTGTTCACTGGTGTGTATACCTTACAGTCCTCAAAATATACTGCTGAATTGAATCCTCACCAAGAAACCTGAAAGACAGGTGTCATTATATCCATATTATAAATGAGGCACTGAAGCTCAAGAAGACTGTAGAGCTCACCAATGTCATAGTTGGGATGTGAAGGTGGGTCCACGTGCCCCTATGGCCCCGTGCCTTGCACTATAGCATCTTGGTGGGAAACCCCCATCCTCAGACTATGGTGATAAATACAAAGCACTGATCCAACCACAGAAAAAATTGCAAAGAATCTAAACCTACTTTTCTTTTTTCTACTCTCCTACCCATCTGTGGCTGCTGAGGCCAGGGACCAGATGCTGAGAGAGGACATGTCAGGGGAAGTGAGAGCACCCACAATGATCACCCATGGCTCCTCTGTGCTCTCTCCTTCTACCCATTCTTCTCCCTCCACCATTTTTCCTTTCATGGTGCCCATGCTATGGACCTAGTCCCTCACTATGACCACCCTGTGATGAATTTAATGCAGAGAAGTCGTATGGACAGAATCAGACACAGAAAAAGGACGTTAGAAATAGAACCTCCCCAAAGAGGTGAGCCCTAGAGCAAATGAATTGCAGAAAGCTCAGCCAGGACAACCCTGGATGAACTAGTCATTCACACTAAAAGATGTTAGCCCTGAGAAGCAACTCAAGAGGAAGCCACAGAAATATTTTAGAGCCAGTATACTCTTCATTAAGAAGATTAAGTACCAACATAAAAAAATGACTATGCTAAAATACTGAATTAAAAAAGCGGCAATAAAATACAAAGTACTTAACAGCTGCAGCCATGTTCATTCAACACACATGCATTAAGGAATTAGCTTCTTGCTGAGTGGACTTTGCCAGGGTGCTTTGCATGGGTGTCAAGGGTGGTACAAGGAGAGCCTAACTGTCACCCTCACTTAAGGCTTTCAGACTGGAGCCCTATTTTCATGGCATTCCCTGGGGAAAATGGAAAAGAGCACATTGGGGCTGATGGTTAGGCTCCAGGTCACCCCGGGATGAAGGCTCTTCAATAACGATGGGACAGATGGGCAGTGTCTAGCCTTCAGAGGAGTGCCCTATGGGGCAGTGACTTTGTTCTGAGCAGCCAAGTAGCTGAAAGGTTGTTCCTCAACTCGAGTCACTTATAACGGTCAGCGGATGCGAACCATTTCAAAACAGATCCATCTACTCTGTGCACGAAATATCACGAAAAACCTGGCAAAGCCAGTGTTTGTATCTCGAGTTTGGACCTCTCATCTGAATCCCTTACTTGAATATCATCTCACTACCTACTCAACACCTCGAGGGGGTCTAACAGGCACCTCAATTTTTTTTTAAAGATTTTATTTATTTGACAGAGAAACACAGCGAAAGAGGGAACACAAGCAGGGGGAGTGGGAGAGGGAGAAGCAGGCCTCCCGCCGAGCAGAGAGCCTGATGCGGGGCTCGATCCCAGGATGCTGGGATCATGACCTGAGCAGAAGGCAGACGCTTAATGACTGAGCCACCCAGGTGCCCCAACAGGCACCTCAAATTTAAGACGTTACCAATAATACTGCTTCCTTCCCCCCATTGCACATCGACGCCTCACACTGTCTTCCCCATTTGGGCCTCAGCCTTTACTTTTCTTCTAATATCCCGTGTCTAGCCTAACAGCCCATCTAGTAGCACTGTCCTCAAAACATCTTGAGAATCTGACCACTTCTCGGCATACCCAGCACCAACATGTTAATCTGTCTACCATCACATTTCACCAAGATTACTGTAATCATCATCCAGCTCATCTCCCCACTTCTTCCCTTGTCCCCTGTGATCTGTTCTTACCAGCGCTATCAGAGTGATCCATTTGAAGCTAATGTCAGATTATGTCTCTCTCTTCTTAAAACTTTCCACTGTCTGTTCCATGTCATCCAGAGCAAAAGCTCAAATCCAACCCACCTACCAAACCCCATGCTCCACAGCCCCTCCTAACCTCCAGCCACTCCCCTGAGTTCATCTCCTCCAGCTCTGCCCCTCAAACCACACTAGATGGTGATGGCCTTTATCATCATCATCCATAGACACTCATCTATTTGTTACATAGTGTGTCTCCACCCAACCCCTGGAGTCCCCAGGAGGGCAGAGACTGTGTTCTGCTCCTTATTGTATCCCCAGCACCTAGAATGGCACCTGGAACATAGTAGGTGTTCAATAAATATTAGTTTGATGAATGAATGAATAAATGAATGAATGAATGAAGATGATTTTTTGGGTCATTAATATACATATATATATAGGTTCAAGACATAAAATATATATATCACACCATACATCAGAAAGAAGGACAGTTGAATTTTATCTCTATCTGTCTCTTCCAACTAGAAAGTTTGTTACTGATAAGAGCTACTCACTGGTGGTCCTGGAGATCCTTCAGCTCCAGGAGGGCCTGGGTGACCTTTCTCTCCAAGCCACCCAGGGAGCCCCAAGTCTCCCTTACTACCCTGCCTCCCAGGAAGTCCTGGAGGTCCTGGTGGGCCCATGGGACCGGGCTCACAGGCACAGAGCCCCGTGTTTCCTAGACAGAGGATAAAAGGCAGCTTTGTCATATCTCCTGCACAAAACCCCAAAAAGCCTTTACTAAACAAAACCAGAAATGAAATAAGAACAAAAGGTTCTGATAATGTGTGACGTGGGGGCATGGGGCACTGTGCAAGGGCTTCTAGGCATGGTCTGTGTGGGGCAGATATATCATTTTTAGACAAATGGGGTGTTTGGGGTCTTAAGAAACCCATCCTGACAAACTCTAGGGGGAAAGTTGATATCCAACTCTACCAAAGGAACTTTAAAAAAGCGATCTTATTTTTTAAAGTGTGAAAATCTTTTATTTAGTTTCTACTGAAGAAACAGAAAAAAAAATGGGTTGGAGCATAAACTCTAAACAAATAAACAAACTAATACGTGAAAAAGGACTATTGAGTGCATTGCGTATTATAATTGATAATTCACTACAATGCATTTTCTACTCATTGGGACTTTCAGTCTAAAAGAAATGCCTTTAGGATAGTCGAACTCAGCTGTGTTTATGCTCTCATACCCACCTATCTCAGATGGTCAAAAAGGCATTAAACAACCTTTAGGGTGGAGAAACCTAAAGCCAGAGACATTTGATGAGTCTGGGAAATATGGACCCACAGAGAGAAAGGGAAATAAAAGATCCATACTATCCTATCTCTGCTTTTTCAAGGAATAAAAAGGACCTCGTGAAAAAAGTCACCACCCTGAGGCAAATTTCACAGCAGGCAAGTGTCTCCTTTAGACTCTCAGATAGAAGGACTTGATTTTGTGATATGCAACTAATGAATCATTGATCACTACATCAAAAACTAATGATATACTACTATATGTTGGCTAATTGAATTTAAATAAAAATAAATAAATAAAATTTTAAAAAAGAAACGAAAAGAAGGACTTGACTTCTGGTAAGTTCTAATCACCTCATAAGCACATAATGAAAAGGAATGCTCATAGGGGTAGATAAGGCACATAACGCATCAAAGTGAAATGGCGCATTGCTCACATCATAAATGTCCCCAACCCTCCATATGCTGCTGTCTTCTGGAAATCCTACCTTTGATGCATACTTGCCTTTTTCTCCTTTTGAGCCTCTTCTTCCTGGAGGACCCACTTTGCCTTTTATTCCTTGTGGTCCAGGGTGTCCAACACTACAATATATAACTTTACAGTAGGGAAGGGGGGCGAGAGAATCACATAGTCTCTGTGAATGTCTTCTAGAGAACAAGTGGGAGTGTCTCTTGCACTCCCATCTTCCTCTCAAGCCCACCTTGTTTCCACTCCTTCCCCATGATTCTTTCTCTCTGATAGAAGAACATACATATACAAATAGATCATACAAATGTCACAGCATATTCCTGCTATCACAGCCACCAATAAAGCCATCCTACTCTCAATCCCAACTTAGTGGGTGGCAGAGCAAGGCAACGGACAACAAAACAAACAAACCAAACCAAACCAACAACCAACAAAACAAACAAAATAACTGTATGACAAGGATCTTTTTCTCCTCCAATTATGAATAATTACCAAATTAAAGAAAGCATAACACATAGCTCATAAAAATATAAATCCAGAGACATCTGATTAAAGGTGACATTAAACACAAACAATAAATTCCTTATCCTTCCCAAATCCCAGTAACATAGCAAATAGTACAGGAATATTATAAAAATGCATAAGCCTGCAGGACAAAGAAAAGGGGAAAGAAAACAACAGCAAAAAAATATGAGAGAACCTAGCAGACCCTGAAAAGCTGACATCTAAGCAGGCTGTGGGGAAAGGCAAAAAAGAGCACAATTTACATGAGAAATCTCTCTCAGACTTCAGGAATTGGTACCTTTTTTTTGAAAGAGAGAGAAAGAGAGCATGTGCATGGGAGCAGGGGAGGGAGGAGCAGAGAGAAAGGGAGAGAGAGAATTTTCAGCAGACTCTATGCCCTGCACAGAGCCCGATGCAGGGTTCAATCTCATGACCCTGAGATCATGACCTGAGCTGAAATCAAGAGTTGGATACTTAACTGACTGAGCCACCCAGGTGCCCCAGGAATTGGTACCTTGAAGTAGAATAACAGTGATGCCTCAATCTGAATGACTGGTTAAAGAAACAGTTCAATCTTAAGATCTCCTTCTCAAAAATTAGCAGCAGTAACCGTGACCCCTCAGAACTGGAGGTAACCGACAACATAGCAAGAAGAAAATTTTGAAGTAAACTATAAAATTTAAAAAGTAGATGAAAGAGGGCATTTCATCCCTAAAACATGAACAGATGGCTACAAAAGAAAACATTAAAACAATAGCAACAACAAAACCCTTAGAAATTAAAAAAAATTATTATCAAAGCAGAAATTGAAAAATTCTGGAGCAGAGTTGTAAGAGGGAATTGGGGAAGTCTACTAGAAAGTGTTACAGAAAAATATAAAGGTGAAGAAGAATAAGGATGAGAGAAAGAGACACGTAGGGTGGATTCTCTAACAGGCAAATGTATAGAGTCCAGAAGGAGAAAACTGAAGATATGAAGTATCTTCAGAGAAACACTTGAAGAAATTTTTATTTTATTTTATTATTTTTTAAATTTTATTTTATACGTTGTTAGTCACCACCCGGGTTGCCCGGAGCCCCAGGGCTGCAGGGACCTCCGGGATCAGATGATCTGATCATCTTCTATGGAAGGAAGTCAAAAGATTAGGCTCAAACTCAAGAATGAAAAAAATAGTGGGGCACCTGGAAGCCTCCGTTGGTTAAGCGACTGACTCTTGATTTCGACTCAGGTCAGGATCTCAGGGTCATGACATTGAGCCCCACATGGGGCTCCATTCTGGGCATGGAACCTGCTTAGGATTCTCTCTTTCGCCCTCTGCCCCCCCCTCAAAAAAATTAAGAAATAGCAATACAAGTACATTGAAGGTCATTAGAAAGTCAAATAACAGAAAATCCAACTACTTGTGTGAAAATAATGTCCCCTGGGGAGGAAGGAACAGGAGAAGGGTTGCCTGGGATGGCAGTTCTTCACAACAGGCTTCACAGAACTGTTTGATTCTCAAGCAGTCCATCTGTACCTCTGATAAAAATTAAAACTACACTTAAAAAATAAAAATCATATTCACTTACAAAATTTCATAATTCACACTTAAATGTTCAACCAAATATTTTCATATGCTGTAGCTGATGTGATATCTAACATCAGTCTACTTTTTAGTATTATTAATAATACTAACTTGGCTCATGAAATATTAGATAACTTTTAAAAATATTTAGAAAGTCACATTTTCTGCATGACACTGCAAATATCACATGCAACATAAATGCCAATGAATGTGAACGAGGAGCACTTTACCATCTGATCCCGGAGGTCCCTGCAGCCCTGGGGCTCCAGGCAACCCGGGTGGTCCCGGGTTCCCTGGCTTTCCTGGACTGGATTCAGCTCTCCCAGGGATACCAGCTGCCCCTGGAAATCCCGGATGACCAGGAAGCCCTCTTGGCCCAGGAGGTCCCATCACGCCTCCAAGAGAAATCAAGAATTAAAACCACATATATCTCTCAGAGTAAACTCTTGTTTAGAAGAAATGAAAATCAGTACATTCTTCCTTAGGCTGTAAATACTTTTAAAGGGGAAAAAAAAAGTACTTCAAAATGACTTAATATCCCAGCCATAAAAATACCTTACCTTCTTTGAAATAAGCACACAAATGGAAACAGGTTTGAGGAATCAGATTTTCTTACTTTTCCCCTATTATTTAGGGTTATTGGGGGAAAATACATATTATTTAATTAAAAATACTATTTTTCAATCTTGCCACTTTGATAATTTGGTTAAAAATAATCTGAATGAACATATTAGCACATGCAGTAAATAAAAATACAGACTCATATATCAGCGATGTGAGACATAGAATTCCGTACCTTTCATAGCAACCTAGGTTGGTGGGGAGGCAGAGAGGCGCTGGATTTGAACCCAGCCTCTGTCTCTCCAGCCACATGTACTTAAGTAAGTTACTGAACTTCTCTAACCATCTGTATTTACCTCAGAGGCTTGTTATGAGGAATAAATAAAATAATTCACGTAAGGACCTTAGTGCAATAGCTGGTAATTGCACACGCTCAAGGAATGCTGAGATGCTCAGTGTGTTCAGAGGTCAGAGTGCGTCAGAGCTAAATCCTGCTTTCCTGTGGCATCCAACCCCCTTGCTGGGGACTTTGGCTAAAGACAGCTCGAAGCCTTCCTATGAGAGTGACCACTTCTCACAGCTCCTTCTTCCTGAGCATGAATCTCCCAGTGGAAGACCGTAGTTTTCAAAGATGGCCACCATGGTAGCTCTTCTCCCTCACACTGTTGTAGGAGCTTGACGGTCTCCTAGCAAAAGGTGACATGTCCCCTTCCCCTTGAATGTAACAGCTTTTCGTGATTGTTTGGACTAATGAAGTACAACAAGAGTGACACTATATATATAAGGTCAAGGTTAGGTCATTAAAGATGATTCAGCCTCTGTCTTGTGAGCCGAAATGCTTGGGATTGCAGGCCTGAGCCACCATGGAAGCAATATCACTGCTCTGAAGCCACCATGCTATAAGGACGCCTAAATAAGTACAGAGCAGGATGGAGAGGCCATGAGACTACACGAAAGGTAGAGGACAGAGATGCCCAGCCAGTCCTCATGTTCTGGTTCCGGCCATTACGTGGCTGCCACCATAGGAACATCTCTATCTAGAATTGGTCAGCTTAGCCCTTCCTGAACTCTTGAACCACAGAGTGAGGGGTAATAAGCTGGTTGTTGTTTTAAGCCACTAAGGTTTGGGTAGTTTTTTCAGCAATAGACAACTGAAACCCTGTCAGTAATCAGTAAGTGGCACTCTAGCCAAATTAGCAGCATTCATTATTGTGTGCACGTGCTGGGTCTTTACATACACTTTCAAACGTTATCCTTACTCCTCAAACAACCTTGCAAAAAGTTTGTACCTTATAGATAAGGCACAGAAAATTTAGGCCACACATGAGTAATAATAATAGCTAACATTCTAAGAACTGTATACATATTACTTCTTTCAACCCTAACGAGAACTGCCCTCTGAGGATGAGAAAACTGAGGCACAGAGAGGTTTAGTAAATGCCCAAGATCACACAGTTTGTATGTAGTAGAACATGGAATGTTTTTAGTCCATAGTGTAAATGCATATCTATTTCAGTATACTACATGAAGTGGGGCAAGGCTGGGATTCAGTCACAGGTATCTAACTCCAAACTCCTGCTTATCTCATGGTAAATACTTTAGATGATTATAAAATATGTATAATAAAGGCTATAGACATTGGTGTACTTAAATGAAATGTGCTCCTGTGGACTTGGCTGCCATCTTGTCTTCATGTCATTCCTAAGACCTGTCTCCAAACCCCTACGGTCATTGGATGGACCTGGACGCTACCTGGTATCTTGTCCCGGTGCCATGGAAAATCCTCAACCACCTTTCAACAGGGAAAATGGGTTACAGTGTCTGGCATATAGCAGCCCTGACCACCCATGAAATCAATTAAGTTGTGGCCAGCATTAAAAATTTTTTTTCAAAAGAAAAAAGTGGCACAGAAAATATAATATGTCATACACAAAAAGGTATTATTTTGTGAAATTTGTGTTTCTTTTTTTCTTTTGAAATTTGTATATTAATCGTATGTGTATGTGGATACATGTATGTGTGTGCAATGCAATGTAAATGCAATATAATATAAAATGTATTTTTTATAATGGATTGTAGTCAAAATTTGAAAGCCACTGGGTTAATTCTTTTTAAAAATCTTGTGGAAGTAAGAGTCTTTCTATTACATTCGGTTTTCAGTCCGCTAGAGATATGTGTTGCTTACTCCCACTGGGTTTTTATTTCAATCTGTTGGAACCCCTATTTTATTATGAACAAGCCCGAAAGGAGATATCTAAGACCAGGTGCTAATGATTCCTGACCAGCTGAGTACTCTCTCTATGACTTTTATAGTCCTTGGTCAATTAAGCCAAGGCCACAGTATCTACAGTTAAGTCAACTAAACAAAGCTTTGCCCCCCTTTGTAGTGGGTTATCAGATCCCACAAAGTGGAAGCTAGAATCGGGGATAGTTAAAGAACTTGGTAGCTAACAGATGAATCTCAGGAAACTTCTTACTCCTTCTCAGTAAATATAACAAGAGACACAGACTGGATAAAATTATATCTATTCAAGACTCTCTCTTCGCATGTTAAATCAGTTCTCCTGAGTTCACAGAATGCAAATATCCTCTAAACTTCTATTCCTAATCTTACTTGGGAATATCAGTTAGCACAGCACTTGAAGGAGTTCAAAGTCCTCTATCAATAGGATTCTTTCCCAGGCTCTTCCTCCACTATTACCATGAGTTCTAAGGTGTTTTTGCTTGGTTTGTTTGTTTTTGGAGGGGGTGCAGATTTGGGGGGGCGGGGAGGTGAGGACTTTTGTTTTGGTTTTGGTTTCTTAACTAAGGCTGAATCACATTTCATTTTTTAAATTTTTTAATTAATATTTACATTTTTAAATTCATAATCTGATTTGCGCCTTTCACATAGGAGAGGAACTCAATTTTAATGAAGAGATGTCGACAGGGAGAGCCTTCCAAGAGGGTTTTAAGACCTGAAAAAACATTCTACCCTGGCACCCATTTCCAAATCTTATCTGCCTGTGACAATCTTGCGGGATGCTTCTTACCCACACATATTCCTCACCTCCCCGCTGCCCCGAGATGCTGACTGAATATTTCTGAGGTGCAGCTGAGGAGCCTGGCTTTCTTCCAAGGAAACCACTCATTGGTTTGAGTTCAGTGGCTCTTAAGTCCAGCTGTCCATTAGAAATAGGAGGTGCTTTTATAATAGCAGACACCTAGATCCACGTCCCAGAGAGCCCAACATGCTTGGCCTGGGGGCCGGGACAGTCATGAGTTTTTCTGAAACGCTCCTAGTTGATCTCAGTATCAGCTAGAGTTGAGGATGAGGATGTAGGAAACCTGGCGTGTAAGAGCCAGTGGAGTTCTACCTGCACAGTCCTCCCCTGGTGGACCGGAGGGGCCGGGAGGACCAGGTGGTCCAACAGACCCCGTTTCTCCGTAGCGGCCAGGGTGCCCCGGATCCCCTGGAGGGCCTGCCCAAAACAACAACACATGTCAATGTAATAACTATATACATACATTTTAAAATTCACACACAATTACTTCTTGTAAGACTTGGTTGAGCACAACTAAGAGACTGTTCTTGCGATTTCTCCCGACATTTAAAAAAAAAAAATGCAGGATCTCAAACTAGAACCCCCTTCTTCAGCTGCCCCTGCTCTGCAAACACATGAACTGGGGGAAGCACTGTCTCTCTCAGTGATATGGGTCACTTTTTTCTTGGAGGCAGCATCTCAGTAGGTCTTAATCAAATGGTTTAGCAATTAAAAAAACCCCTACTTTTGTAAAGGTAAGATAACAGTTTCTGCATCCTAAAATCACATTTGGAGTCGTATGCCCATAGAGATGATTCAGATGCACCTATCTACTGGCACCTGTAAATTATATATTCTTGCTAAAATTAATGTATTTAGCATACCAGATATGCAATGTACAGAAATACTGGGCCAGACTCTTCTGTCAGGGCACCCAAATCCCATTTCCTAATAATTTATGAAGGAACCAAACTGAACACAAACCTTTGAGTGGAAGAGATGGAGTTACCAAAACCCCTGGTGGTCCTGGGTACCCACGGTCTCCGGGATCCCCCTGAAATCATTCATTCATATGCTTTTCTTAGAAATATTAGTATTTTTCTCATGCTGCCCATAACTATTGGAAGGAACAAGAGTGCATTCATATAAGAAATGAAGATTATAGGCTGACTGGAAACATGAATGGTTCATGGAGTTCTGGGATAACAAAGGCACCCAGCCTCCCACCTACAAGCAGAAGATGACCAACTGACAAAACTCTCACAAAAGAAAAAAAATTAATTCCCAAAAAACGATTTCGTGCTCATAAATTAGATACCTCTGAAACCATGAAGTTTCTTTAGATGTCCTATGAGCATTCACGTTGAACTTGGCACTTTAGGACAAATAGTCTATTCACCTATAAAACCTGAATCTACATCTTATTTTAACAGCAAATACTGTCGCCCTCAACTGTGTCCCCTTACTGCCACCATGGCTGGTCCTGAGCAAATGCTGGATGTGAGGTCACAGAGGTACAAAGGAAAGACAAAAAAAATGCACTAGAAAAAGTCAGGAGCTCTCCACTGCTCCATCTGATTATAATCCTCATGGAATTCTTGAAACTTCTGTTACTATTCACCTTCAAAAGGTTGAACACTTTCTCAAATGCAAAACATAATCATTACAACATGCACTGGAGTAATACATATACAATTAACTCTGTCTCTTTTAAAAGTTATGTTTTTGAATGATTCAAGTATTTTTTAAAAGGAATTAGTTAACATAAGGGATACAGAATTTTACCAGGCTGTACTCAAATACACCTGCCTTTTTACCTTTGGGCCAAGAAATCCAAATGATCCAGGCTCTCCAAATAGTCCTGGTTCCCCCTACAAATAACCACAAACATGCCTTTAAAAGAAAAATCTGACTGGGTGACAAATTATCTCATTCTTGTTTAATTTGAATGACACATACTCACTGAGATTCTGTGCAAAATCTTAACACTGCTTTTGGGTTGTATCAGACAGTTTTGGGTGTTAGTTTTTGCATCTACAGCTAGATTCTGCAATTTGCAAAATAAATGTGTCTCCTTTTCCAATTAGTGTGTGCATACTTGCATGCCCTAGTACAACTTTTGAATACACTGAATTGCATTTTTGAATAAAAATGTACTTATCATCTCTATAATTGTGTGCATTTACCTTTACTCCTGGAAAACCTGGAGATCCATAGGAACCGGGATCACCCTAATAAATTCACAAAAATCAACACAAGCAGAATCAAATCCAAGTGCTTGAAACCAGTTCAATGCATTATTTTTCATCTTATGAAACTGCTTTATGGATATTTCAACTCGTCTGCAAAGGTAGCTGAATAAAAGGAAATGCATATAAAATAGAGTCTGTTTCTTTTTAACATTTGCTATTTCAACCGATCTTCAGTTTTACTTTAAAAATTCACGTCCTTGCCAGTGATTTAAAGTAAGAACATATTTTTTGTTGTTGTTGTTCTTGTGTTTTAACTTATTTACCCTAATGCTTGCACTGGGCTAAATATTTTTGGAATCATTGCAATATAATTTGTGTAGAAATTAATAGGCACTCTGTGCATTACCAGCAAAAAAATTACCATGGAAGCCAATGTCATCCCATTAACTACTGAATCTGGAGCCAAATAAACTCAGGGCCCTTGCCCATGGGGGCTCTGGCCTCTAGAGTGACCCTGTCAATGGTGACCCCATTAGTGGCATGTTTGGTGATGTTTGAGTCCTGATGCTATAGTTTTTGGTAGCTACTGCCCCGAGATCAGTACCCTCTTTTATCAAGTAGGCTTAAATGAACAACTCCAAGCTGCTATCACAGTGACACTGAGCCCCAGTTGTGGAAGGAAATGCCACGATCCTGTTACTTCCCACCAATTCTATCTTCCGCTTGCCCATTTTATCTAAACGATGTCACTGGAAGGGATGTCTTGTTGGGGCATTTAGCTATGACATAATTTTTGTCCAAAATGTATTGTTCCTATTTGAGAAAATCTCTACTTTTGAGTTGTTAGAAATATAGATCTAGTTTTGTAAAAATGTGAGAGAGGAAGGCCTCCAACTCACTGATGTTAGGGGCAGCCTGAATGGCATGAACGATCCTTACCCGAGGTCCTGAGAACCCAGGGATACCCTTCTCTCCTTTTGCCCCAATTCCAGGTTCTCCCTTAAAAGAGATGACAACATTTGGAGGTGTTCAAGCAACAATATTTCAGCAACATGGAATGTAAACACAAAATGAGAGATAAAAATTCTTGCCAGCAGCTTAACGAAAACAACCACCTTAGAAGAGATGCCCTACGGAATCAGGATAAAATAGTGAAAACTTCGAGTAACATATATTAGCATTAAAGCAATGATAAAGACCATGCAAAAAAATTTTTAATGAAGATATCGTATCATCAAATAAAAAAGGGTATTTTAATAAACTACCTTGGGTCCCGGTGGTCCTGGAGGTCCAGTCATGCCAGGCATTCCTTTTATGCCCTAAAAATCACACTGAATATAATCAGTCTCTTATTATTTAACTCTTATTATTTAACATAGTGAATGCCATGTCTTTCAGAAATTCTCTCTTTCAAGAAACATTTTACTAATTTTTTTTTAATTCTTATGTTAATCCCCATACATTACATCATTAGTTCTAGATGAAGTGTTCCATGATTCATTGTTCGTGCACAACACCCAG